AATCGTTGATGAAGATGTTGAAGAGCACTGGGCCCAGAACAGAGCCCTAGTTCCTGTTGGGTTTTTAAAATCTGAAATTGGGTAAAGATAACTGCATTCTTCCAATTACCAATCACAAATGCAATTTGATATCCATATAATTGTAATTTGTACATTGCCCATCCCAAGATTCTGGGTGATTTACATGACATCTATTTAAAATTTTCCTACTTTTCTAAGAATCTATGGTAAGATTAACAAGTTTCTCTTATGAAAATTGGGACTTGATGGGGGATTGGAATAGAGTGATTCCCCACCATTTCAAGAGTGTACAATTTTTTTCCTGAAAGACATAAATTCTTTTCAAAAATAAACATGATTTGGATTTTTAAAAAAATTGATATTGAGGCTTCCTTGGTAGAAATAAATGACAGACTACCACAATCTCCTTGCAGAAATATTGACATGTTATTCAGATAATTCTCCTCTTTATGCACTACCAACCTCAACAGCTGCAAAATGAGTTTTCAGCAAAGCCTAAAAGCAAGGACCTTGAAGGGATCCATGAATCAGAGCAACAACAAAGAAAATAATATTTTGTGTATGGCTGGTTTCCTCATTCCGGTGAAGAAATAGCATCACATTTCAAATCTGTACTGTACGTGGCTGACCAATGAAAGAACTTAGGCCCTTCTGGTGGAATTATACCAACGCTTGTCAAAAAAACCAGCCTAGACTCCAATGCTATCCAAATTTATTTTACAAAAGGTGACATTGCATATCGCATAGCAAGCTTGAGACTTAAAAATATAAAGAATGCTTTGAAAGTCAGTGGAATAGCTGTCTAGCTCAGACAAGACAACTAGATGTTTCCTTGAAACAAGACTATCTGGTCTGTGGGGAACTCCAACTCCGAATTAGTGAATTCCAGGATTCTCAGTAGGCTGCTTATAAGAGAATATCTCAAGTACAATTTAGCAGGAGTAGATGTTGTTAAATTGGCCTTTTCTTTGTAGTCCTGACTTTGCAAACATCTTTTCCGGATAATAGAAAAAACAAACTGCATGCTAAAACAATTCTCTAATTGCATAAACTTCTTCAGACTGAATTTCTTTTAGTTTTCACAAAGACATTTATCATCCTCGTTCCTGCTGAGGTGAGCATATTAATAACTCAATGATAGACAAGAACAACTTTGAAACTGTCTTGTAGAGAATATCAACTGTCCCAAACAGCAGGGAGAACTGGTAAACAGAGACACAACTGCTGATAGGGAAATAAACTAAGAGTAGCAACATGAATCTTGAGAGGAAAATTACCATAGCACTTAAGCCAACATCAGAGAACATTCAAGAACTTACCCTTACCGGAAAGCAAGTGACACACATCTTAACTATTTCTTGATTAATTTTCCAGCATTTGGTGAAGCATAGTTGCATTTAGTCCATTTAATTTAATGATATTTTAAGTTCAGATAAAATAATTGGAGATGTAACAAAACTATTTTCTACAATACAAAACTTAGTGATGAGAAATTCAGCTATTGGGGTCTGTAAAAGTTCATGGCAAGTTATTACAATGTGTTAAGATAATAGCAATAGCATTTAGACTTATATACTGCTTCACAGTGCTTTACAGCTCTCTCTAACCCAGGGGTGTCAAACTCAATTTCATTGAGGGCCGCATCAGCATTGCGGTTGCCCTCGGGGGATGGTGGGTGGCTGTGGCCAGGGTGGGTGCGGCCTACTGGTGGGCGTGGATGTAGTGGGTGTGGCCTACTGGGTGGGCATAGCCAGCTCTACATCATTCGCGTCAAGGGTGCTGGTGGAGGCCTGGGCAGGAGTGGGACAGATCTGAGGGTCTCTGGCAGAAGGGGCTCAGACCAGGGCAAGTGCCAAGGCATGGTCCACTGGAGGAACCTCACTGTTACTCTCAGGCCATGGGGGGGGGGCTGGAGGTGGTGCAAGCTGCCCGGAGTCCTGGGCAGCAGAGGTCAAACGCCCAGCCTGGCCCTTGAGCACCCGCGGCACCAAGCCCAGCCCCACTTCCCCAAAGGGGCGCCCAGCTGCACTTACCTCCTCCTCAAGGCTGCTGCTGCTGTGCTTGCTCTCTTTAGCCAGGTTGCTCATGATGGGCAAAGTCAGAGGGAGGCCCATTCCCTATCCATGGGAGGAGACCCAGCTTTGTATCCAAAGCTTCCTTAGCAATAGGATGGGAGACCCCCAGGATAGGCCAGGAGGAGGGGGCAAGGGGATGGTGAAAGGGCAGCAGGGCAGGACTAAGGCAGGAGTTCCCTCAGACCCTCTCTCTCATTCATTCCTTCCTTCCTAAGTACAGAGTGGTGGGAAAATATTTGAGATGAGGGAAGGGAGAAAAACAGGCAAGAAACGCAGCTGGGGAGGTGTCACCCTTCGTGAGGAATGAAGAAAGGCACCATCGCCTGGAAGTGGCCAGCACATGGCCCTCACCTACTTCACATATCTGACTTGGTGGGCTCTGGGAGAGGGGATGCCATGAGCAGCGTGAGAGTCAACATTACCTGCGCAATGCCGCCCAGCCCCCAGCCTGCCTGGTTTCGGCAGGCAGCGAGGCGCTCTCCTCACAGCGCCGAGAGGCTGAGTCAGGCGGTGTGAATTTGAAAAGAAGCACGACGATGGCCAGCCCCCAGCCTGCCTGGTCTCAGAAGGCAGTGGGGTGCTCTCCTCACAGCGCCGAGAGGTTGAGCCGGGCGGTGTGAAGCTCGCCAGCTTTGCACCTTTGCTGCCTGCTGAAACTGGGCAGGCTGGGGGCTAGGCAGCATTGCACTTCTCATCAGATTCGCGCCATCCAGCCCAGCTCTTGGCCCTGTGAGTAGAGCACCCCGCTGCCTGCCGAAACTGGGTAGGCTGGGGGCTGGGCAGCATCGCACTTCTTTTTGGATTTACGCCACCCAGTTCAGCCTCTTGGCGCTGTGAGGAGAGCGCCCCGCTGTCTGTCAAAACCCCTCCCCCTGAGCCCATCAAGCCGGATATGTGAAGTAGGCGAGGGCCATTTGCTGGCCATTTCCAGGCGATGGTGCATTTCTTCATTCTTCACAAAGGGTGATACCTCCTCAGTATGCACTCAGGGGGCAGGGCTGACGCGGCAGGGGCTGGTTCCTCGCTGTTTCCAGACGGCTTTTTGGAGCTAAGACTGAATGCGTTTCAGCATAGATGGCCACCACAAAATTGTACATTGGCTCTCGGCCGGCCAGGGCCAAGGCAGCGGGGGCCGTTCCCTCACTGTTTCCAGGATGGCTTCACGGGCCACATGAAACCCCTTCACGGGCTGCATCCAGCCCATGGGCCTTGTGTTTGACATGTCTGCTCTAAGCGGTTTACAGAGTCAGCATATTGCCAACAATCTGGGTCCTCATTTTACCGACCTTGAAAGGATGGAAGGCTGAATCAACCTTGAGCTGCTCAGAATCGAACTCCTGGAGTGAGCAGTGAGTTAGCCTGCAGTGCTGCATTCTAACCACTGTGCCACCACAGCTCTATAGTGCCAGATTCATCAGCAAAAGTGCCAAACAGAGGAAGCAATTTTTAAAAATAATTATTTTGAGTGCTTGCTGCAACAAGACGTTTATTGATTAACCAAGTTCTCACAAATACTTACAGACTATTGCTATTTTTAGTTTAGTTTGTCAAAAATTCTTTTTTCTTGGAGGACAATTAATCGTCAGTTGGAGACAGCTATGACTACCTGTAAGCAATCCATTTATGATAGTAATTATGAGGTTGTGTAGTCAGTTTGCTTTGTTTAAAACATACCACTATTATTACTTCTTAAAACAGATAACAAAATATCTTATTGACAGATTGGAACTCCTAATGTTTACGGATTTTATTTCCCCATGGCTCTGAATCTATTTTACCTTGATATAATTTGCATAGCATTTTGGGTTTTTCTTTGTGTAATTTTCTATAATTTCTAGAGATCAAGGTGGAGATAAGTGTTATTAAGCATAGTAACTAAGACAATAGTTGCTAGTTACATAAAGGCCTCCTTGGTAATACAAAACACAAATCAAAAGGATTAATTCCTATTTATACAAGTTGGAATGGAATATTTATTTTTTAACCCCATTCCCTTCTAGCACTGATGATGTTACCTAGTTGGGTAATGAAACATCTGTAAAAAAAACACCAAGCTCAGAGAACACCAAGGACTCTTCCATTGGTATGTCTTTTTTTATTCTACATTTAAATTCTGGACTCAGCATAAATAATAAAATCTATTTAACTGCTGGTTCAAACCTAAAAACTACCTGCCCATCGCCAATTTCCCTAACATTCCTGTTAATGAATCACAATCTCATTTGGCTTCAGTCAGTCACTTTTACCCAGAGCATGGTAAACGCAACAGCCCGATTCAAAATCATTTCATAAGAAGCAAGACAGAAAACAAAGGAATACTTCCCTTTATTCCTTGAAGCAGCTTCCTCTTTTGTTATTTTAGAAATCCAAATCAATTAAATAT